CCCATCTCCCTTGCTGGATTTATTTGGATGTACACCATATTTAGGATATTATTATTATTACAAGAACAAATGTGTTCAAGGTGAGCTAGAAATCAACATTAGCTCTCTGCTTTCTTGCATTTTCTTTAAATAATATTCTCACTTGGGTTCCCCAAAACTGGAGCAGTTTTGCTGCAAAACTAAGATGAGCAGACATGTTATATGTTGTGCAAAATGCATCTGCAGCAGAACCCCTTTCCTCTACATAGATTTCTGAGATTCGATTATCTACTGAAATGATTGCCCGCCATAGTTACAGGGAAGTCTTGGGCATGTTTACTCCAAAGGAGGTCCCCTGAGTTCAAAGGGACTTACTCCGAGGGAATCACAGACCGATTCATCTTAAAAATTGGGAAGAAGCTTCCCGGTAGGACAGTGCCCCCCAGCAGGGGAAGTTCTACAAGATTTTGCATTTCAGATTGGCTTAGTAAAATAAAGAGTGAAGGCCCCGGGATCCTAAGGGGTAGGTCTCCCTGGGAGGGCAGACCAGCACAAGCCTGGACTGCCAGTTGGCGTTTCCTGCAGACTTTGTGGCCCTCAAGCCGAATATATCAGGGTTTGTCTGGAGAAAGGGGTGTGGGGAAGGGAGAGAAAGGCTGTGCAGGATCCAGAACATTTTAAATTTTTAGGAAGTCAGGGAAAGAAGGTAAGGTTCTGCAAAGGATGCCATGACCCACTTCTGAGTATATTAAACAGCAAGAAGCCCCAGGTGTAAGCAGTGTTCCAACACTGGGCCGTGGTCAAGGCCTACATGGCGTGGGACCAAGCGGAGCGGTGGACGTTCTTCTGCAGTCCAAGGAGGTCTCGCTGGGTGCTGTGCGACCGACGGATACCTCTGGCAGTACCCAAGAAGGGAGGCACCTGTCCGATGGGCTGCCTTGAAGAGGCCTCCACCTGAAGACCCATCCACCCCTTTCCCAGGCCTTTCCTGATGGATTTCACCGCCCAGCTTGTTTAACGGTGGTATTGATTTTTAACCGTTTTGATGTCTTCATCAATAGAGTATTGCAAAAGATGTTCTTTGTAAACAAATGTTAAAATATGGCAAGCAGGTTCTTTTTCGCACCTTGTGCCATATCACTTAGATCCACAATAAACAGAGTTTAATCTTCCCTTACCATGTTTTAGAGGGAGAAAGAGAGAGCAAGAGAGTGTGTGTATCTTTAGTGCGCGTGACTTTGGACGTGCAAATTCAGCCCCGGATTCCCCCACCTAGCACCCCCCCCCATTATTTGTGCAGCAACTGATCACTGGCTGCACTAGCTAGGGATGATGGGAACTGAGGTCCTGAACATCTGAAGGGGACCAGAGGCAATATCCCAAGAGTTCCATCTAGCTTAATTCAATGAAACTTTGATTTTTGAATGGTTTTTTGACTATGCCTCTAGGCATAATCTACACATGGATATTTATTTGGGGTATCTTTGTTTAATTCCATGCATTATTTTAATAATGAAACTATGTTTTGTTATATAATCATTCTTAGCCAGGGTGGTGCAGTGGTTAAGAGTGTGGGACTCAGGAGATCTGGGTTCAAGTCCCTGCTCAGCCATGGAGCCAACTGGGTGACTTTGGGCCTGTCACAGACTCTCAGCCCAGCCTACCTTATAGGGTTGTTGTTGTGGGGATAAGATGGAAAGGAGGAGGAGGAGGAGGATGCAAGAGGCTTTGAGTTCTTTAAAAAGGAAAAAGGTGGGATATAAATCTAATAAATCAACAATGTATATATAACCAGTGTTATGGATCTTTCTAAATCTTATTAAAAAGTGTAATGTTTTAGTTTATATTGTTCTTTTTCTTCTCTAATGGTGTGGTTTGGCTTCATTTGTGCATTGCATAATAAAAAAGAAATTAAAGGAGAAGGGCTCGCTCATCTCAATGGCTCTGCTCTAAGCAGGATTAAATCGCAGCCCGGCTGAGCCAGGCTGGACAAGCCAATTGGCACTGGCAGTCGCTCAGGTTGCATGAAACAATCATGGGATGGGCCAGCTGGGGCTGGTAATGCATGGGGGGCAGAAGACATGGGAAGGAACCAAGGCTGGGGCCATGCCGCAACAGTGCAACCAACTGGGGCTGAGAGAGAGTGATCAGGAGGCTCAGAAGTGGGACCCACGGCTCTGAGTGCAGAAGGCCTCACGATCAGCACTGGGCTTCTTTAAAAACAGGTCTCAGACTCCACGAGCGCGCGAAACACCCCTCTGCCTGAAAAGCAGAGCCCTGGCTGGGTCAATTAATGAATGGATTTGCTAAAGGGCCGTGTGATTTCACAATGCCTGGGATACCCCCCTAGAGCGCTCCAGTGGGTCTTCTAAGCTGGGTGCCCTCCAGATGTGCTGAACCAACAACAACCACAAGAGATGCCTGCCAGAACATCTGGAGGGCTCCAGGTTGCAGAACAGGGACCTGCAGTCCCATGTCCTCGTTAGCACAGCCGCTGGGGACTTCCCTGTTTTACAGCTTTCCAACAGCACTTCACATTGCGAGTGCTCCATCCCAACATTAATCACACGTGAGGCAGAAAACTGGGCTCAGACCTGGATCTCAATCAATCAATCAATCAATCAATCTCTGGTCAGACCTGAATTCTCCCACTGACATCTCCCAGAGCCCATCAATAAATGGAAACACAAGCAGTCTGCCTTACAGGGTTGTTATGAAGATACCCAGGGCTCTCTGAAAACCCCCAGCGGTTTCACTATTGTTTAGCAAGTGATGCCAAGTCATACAGTGCAATCCAACTTAAAACATGCTGTGAATTCAGTGGGTCTGAGTCCCAAGCAAGTGCCAACTTCCCACTTCGGAAATGTTACCCTGGAGAACTCTTTCAAATGACAGCAGAGACATGTAAAAATGAGCTGTGCTGTTAGATATAATTGCACCACCAATACTGTGTTTAAAAGCACCATTATCCTCTCAGTAAGGATGTAGAAAAAGACTTCCAGAATGAGCCTTCTTGCCCTGGGCAGGAATTTGTGCTGCTTCCAGCCCAAACTCTCTAGTCAAATACAGTTCAGCTTTTACGTATATATTCTCTTATCCATGGCCGAACCTTTCCCACTCTTGCCGAAGCAGGTTGCTGGCAACCCAGTGCTTCCGAGGACAAGCCGAGCCCCACACCCGCCTGACAACAGCCCAGACCCGACGAAGACCTCCTGGGAGCCAATGGGCTCTGTCGGCGCTGTCCACTGCTTGCGCTGCCTGAAATCTTTGCCTAGCACCCTGCAGCAAAGATGGAATATGCCTGAGCAAACAGCAGGACGGCAGCCCGAAGTGTGCAGAAGTGCGAGAGAGAGAGAGAGGGGGGGGGGAGCAGTGCTCAAGTGTGCCAGTGTGCGACGAACGTCCCCCTCGCCCTGCATCTGGCACGCATCTCCTCCTTAGCAACATGCCAGCACCACAGGGGTGGGGAGGGCTCTTCAGCAATTAGCAACAGCAAACCCGGCTGGCCTTTTGCAAACAAGAACACAATTTGGATGCTCGGCTCGCATCGAGGCACTTGCTCTACCATGATGGCGACTTCCCCCAGCCAAATACGATGCAAAATTCAGAGCCGAGGCCCCCTCACCACTCCTCGCCTTCTTGCTCTGAAATTTCAACACCACAAACACCTCACAACGCACTCGCTACAGCGCACGGCTAATGTGCTCCTTGCCACAGCCCTTTCCTCCAGGGTGCTCTCCAACCCAGTGGAAACCAGAGGCGGCTGCATGTCGGTTCGCCAGAAGAGTCTCCGTGTTTGAGTGTGTGCGTGTGGGTTCCAAGAGCGTGCAAAATAGTCACGGAACACCTGTGCTTTATCAGCTGCCTGATACATCAATTCACACATGCACAAACTCACACACCTCTTGGGACTGTAAATCAACAACACAGGTTGTTATCAGAGGTGTCTGGTGCAGCAGAGAGAGGGAGATGGTTCAGAATCAGATAAACATGGCAAGCTGTGCCCATCAGGAATTGGCTCTGCCCGGGCATTGCGTGTAAACGAGAAGTGGAATCAGCGGGGGGGGGGGGAGCAGTGCCCCCCTCTGTTTGTTTGCTGCTGATTTATCTCCTCCAATATCCCAGCTTAATTTGCTGTCGCAGCCAAATTCGGCCATAATTAATTAAAGAGAGAGTGAGAAGGGCTCAAATCAAGAGAAGGAGGGTGGGGTAGAAAAGGATGATGGAGCTTTGCTTTAAATCTGAGCAAGACGTGCATCCATACCAGAGGGGAAACCATAATAAGTCTATGTCAGGCCATCCAATGTTGGAAATAAATGGGTGGGGGACAGAGGCGAAGGGAGCCAGATGGAACACAGGTACAGGCTAGAAGATGAAATCCTGGCAGCAGGCGTCATTGACACTGGGATGTTTAATGGCCATCTCTGACTGCATCCCTGGGAAGAGTCTCGCCTTCAAGACCCCCACCTCTCTCTCCTCCACCCTCTTTTCTTAGGAAGTGGGAGGGGGAGGAAGGAAGAGGAGCCGAGAAATTGTACTTCAGCACCAAAGCTGTGAACAGCAAACACCTGGAGCGTATTTGCTTCACACACACAAAGAGAGGAGTAGGGGCTGGGTATTCAGCCCCTCCCTGCCCTTTTCGCTTGCCCATCTGCCTGCCCAGCCTTCCCAGTCACTGCCCAGAATACCGGACCACACCAACTGGGTCCTTCCAAGACAGCACAGAAGGAAGATGCTCTGGGAAGATCTTCCCACTTCAAACATGGCGGACGCTCATTCATACAACAGAGGATCTGCTCAGCTTCCCCTCCCTGAATGCTCCCCCCACCACTCCAAACAAGAAACTGCCAGGGTAACCAGGAGGAAGGCGCTTGGATTCTGCCCCCTCCGGTTCGAAAACAAGCAGACCAAAAATGGGAAGCAGCAGCCTGGACAAATCACTGGGGAAATATGGAAAATGCCACACCACCGACTGCACAAGATTGCTGAGATGGTGCGAAAAATCCTCAAAAGGGACTTACTTCATTTGCTTCACAATGGTGCTTTTCCCGGATTCCCCGGCCCCTGTTGGGACACAAAAAAGAAAAAAAAAGGAATATAATAAAATAAAACCCCAATAAAGGCAAGATCTGAAGAGTGCGAGAATATAAGGAGATAAAAAGAGATTACATAGAAAGGAACAGCTGTGCTTAATGGTTGAATCCACATGGAGGGGTGAGGTTAGAGGCGATCATGTTTGTGCAAAGAAGGGGGTTTTTTTTGGTGGGGGGAGATAGAGATGGTGCTTGTTTTTTTCCATGAAGAAAACTGGGAGGGGCGTTAGGACCATACCTGTTTGGGGGGGGGGGAGGACAGGCAGCTGGAAAGGGGCAGTGGTGAAAAAGGTTTATATTTGGGGAAACGCATTTTTTGATGCCAAAGAGGAAATGAGGATTGCTAGACCGCTGCCCAAGAGGAAGGGAGGGAGGCGAGCAGGTAGCCAAGGGGAGGGATAGAGCGTAATTGTGCAGTACAGCAAAAGGTGGGGCTGAAAATGGAGGAGTGGTGGCACACACGCCTCGCTGGTGGAAGGCTGGAGTTTCATTTAATTTCATTTGGGAGGGGCTAATTTGTACCCCTGAGTTGGCAACGCAGAGAAGGAGGGTGGAAATAGCTTAAATCGGAGAACCGAGGAGAAATGGGGCGGGGGGGGCATGATCGTGGCACACGAGCGTGGAAAGCAGAGCTGCAAATATAGAAACCGAGCGGGCGGGGGCGGGGGTAGGATCACACCCGAGAGCAGCGGGATCGGAGAGAGAGGGGCGAGTGCGCGTTGCAATCGTACCTGGGCGCGCGCGCCGGTGATGCGGGCAGGGGACAAGAAAAGGATGCAGCCGGCTTACCTAGCAGGAGTAATTTCACATCTTTGGCCGCGCTGATGCCGTCTTCTTTAAGGTTCTTCTCGATCGCTTTGCTCCTCTCCAAGGCGGCCCGCTCCTCCGCGCTCAGGGTACATCCCATGGTGGCCCCCCGAAATGTGTTGTCCTGGGCTGGTGGACGCTGCTTGGGGTCCCCCCACCCTTGCTCAGGCGCTCCAAGGGGGGTAACGGGAGGGGGGATGCACAGAGCCGCCAAGAGGAAAGGCGAGCAAGCGAGGCGGGGGGGCGGATGCGGATCCTCGCCTAGGTGAAAAACCAAGCCGAAGCCGCCGGCAGGGGGGGTTGGATTTGGCTCTGGGGGTGTCTCTGCCCCCCCAAGCGCGCGCGCTTTCGCCGCTTGTCTCCCTCCTCCTCCTTCCCGGCTCTGCGTCGCACTTCAGCCCAGCAAATCAATGCGTCCAAATGAAATCCCAGGCTGAGCGGGGCTGCTGGTGCCGGCGCGGGGGGCGGGGGTGCCGAAAGATGGGCAGGGAGCGTCGCGGCAGAAGCCCGGAGCTTCGGAGCGGGAGCTGGCCGCCCTCCCTCTCTTCTCCCCTCTCGCCGGGGCTGCGGGCAGGTCTCTTCTGGCGGCAGGAGCAGCCGCTGCTGCAGGCGCGCTGGCGACGCGCGGAGCCTCTTCCTTCCTCCCGCCCGCCTCTCGCTCCCGCCTCTCTCCCCCGAACCGGGCTGCCGTCGGAATGTCTTCCTGCCCCTGCCCCAGCGCTCCGCGTGTGCGCGTGTGCGTGTGAGTGCGTGCGTGCGTGTGCGGTGCGGTGCGGGCGAGTGCGCTTTCCTCCCCTAGCGCGGGGGTCTCTAATGGGCGGCGGCGGCGGCGGCGGCGGGCGAGCGCATCGTTCGGCCGATCCTAATGGAGAGAAATGCAGAACCGGGGCGGGCGGGGAGAGCGGGGGGCGGGCGGGAGGCGGGGAGGGCCAGTGCGCAGCGCCAGCCGGCCGCGGAGGAGGAGGGAGGGAGGCAGGCAGGCAGGCAGGCAGGCAAGCGGGCGGGCGGGCAGGCGCGGCGAGTGCGCCCCCGCGCTGCGCTCGCGGACTTCCACCGGGCGAGAGGCGAGGCCAGCTGGGCCGATGACGTCGGCCGCGCCGCCCGCGCATGCGCCCGCGCGCCCGGGGGGACGAGCCCCGGGGGCCGCCCGGAGGGTTGCCGCTTCCACGCGCGGCCCGGGCTGCGCGAGCGGGGAGGGCAGCTCGGACGGCGCCAGGGCGGAGGTGCACGGCGCGCCCCTCCAGCGCCTCCCGCTCCCGGCCTTCCAGCTGCTGCTCCATTCCGAATACGTTAGGATAGGAACCGTGCGTGTGCGGGGACCGTTTTTGCGCATCCGCAGTTTAAGCACGCGTGGGGTTTTCGACATGTAGCATGTCCTTTCCAGCACGCGCATCTTTTGGAGCATGTTGCTTGTTGAGGTTGCTTCAATCGGCGCAACATCGCAGCGGCAGGAATAAAAGGGTGGCTTTTCTCCTCCATTGCCTGCCCCTCTCTGGGTGTTCCTTTGGGGAACTCCCTGGAACGCAGTTTCTGGGTTTCTGGCCCCCGGGTCCAGACCTAACCGCATCTCCCCGTCACTTGCCAATGTGGGGGGGGGGATGTGAATAGGGGAGGGGAAGCATCGGATACTGGTGCAGCAAAGGCTGGACCTGGGGGCAAATGTCTGCCTCCCCCCCACCTATTGCATGACCAAATCTCAGCTGGGAAAAGCCTGAAGTGAGTAGAACCTTGAATAAATTGGGAAAAGGACAGAAGAGATTAACAGAAAAGAGTCCTGCAGAACCCTGGCAGTTGTAGGGTTTTTTTTTTTTTTTCCTGACTAAACCCTAAAATGATCACAGGGCTGTAGGAACAACCTTGTGAGGAGACATCACACTGTCTGGGATTCTTGGGTGAGTAAGAGGAGACTTTGCAGAGGTGTGCAAAATTATGACAGTTGTCTTCCTCGTTTTTAGAATTGGAACCCGGGTCATCCGATGAGACTCACTGTGGGAAGTTCAGGACAAATGTGCGATGGAGCGTTTTCACAAGGCATGAGGTGCGAATATGGAGTACATTTCCACAAGATGCAGAGATGGCCACCATTTTGGATGCCTTTATTATAGAATCACAGAATGGTGGAGTCAGAAAGGGGCCAGGAAGGCCGTCAGGTGCAACCCCTGCTGCAGTAGGACACCAAGCCACACCCTCCCACTCAGAGGGCTGCCCAGTTTCTTCTTGAATGCCTCCAGGGTGGGAGAGCCCCCCACCCCTCCAGGCAGCTGGTCCCACTGTCGTGTTGCTCTGACAGTGAGGAAGCTTTTCCCGATGTCCAGCCTGAATCTGGGTAGTTGCAGCTTGACTTGATTCTTCCGTGCCCTGCACTCTGGCATCAGCCAGAAGAGATCCTGACCTTCCTCTTAGTGGCAGCCCTTGAGGGAATTATAGGGTGATCTCATGTCCCCCCTCAGTCTTCCCTTCTCAAGGCTGAACATGCCCAGTTTTCTCAGCCTCTCCTCACAGGGCAGCCTGGATCATTTTTGTCGCCCTCCGCTGGACCTTTTCTAATTTACCTGCAACTTTCTTTAATCTTGGTGCCCGAGACTGGACACAGGACTCCAGGTGATGGGGGCTGGACAGGTTTATGGAGGAGATGGTTCTCCATGACTACCAGTCCTGATGGCTACGTATACCAGTTGCTGGGGAACATGGGCAGGAGGGTGCTGTGGCACTCCTGTCCTTTTGTGGGTTCCTGTGGGCAACTGGGCGGCTACTGGGGGACCAGAATGCTGGCCCAGCGCATTCTTCTGATGTCAGATAGTCGTATGGTCACCCTGGAAGAGGCAAAGAAACACAGCTATTTTACTCCAGCTGTTCTGTTCATCATCTTGCCTCTGTCTCCTGATGTTTTTCCTCTTGTAAAGAAACCCATGTGGTTTGTGTGGTTTTCCTCCTTCCAGGGTATCCTCAGAACAGCCCTGTGAGGTAGGCTGGCCAGAGACACCCAGTGAGCTCCGTGGCTAAACAGGACTAGAACCTGGATCTCCCAAGGCCTGGTCCAATGATTTTGCCACTACACCGTGATGGAGATGTGCTATGAATGCACTATCATTATTTAATTACTTGGTTTTTACTTCACTCTTCCTGACAAGGAGCCTAGGGCAACTGATATGCCATGGCCAATACTACAATTGTATCACTTGACTGATCTGATTTGTACCCGGCCTTGCTACCGAAAGTGGCATTCAGACCGGTTTACGACATGGCATAGTGATTAAAATGTTGGACCGGGACTCAGGAGTTCCAGACCCAAGGTTCACTTGCCCGTGAGACTCACTGCGTGACTTTGGGCAAGCCACAGATGCTAAGCCCAACCTACCTCACAGGGCTGTTGTGAAGATCAAATGGAGAGAAGGAAAGCCACGCAAGCCTCTTGGGGTTCCTTGAACCATTTTATACAGGCAGTTGTTTTCGGCTTTCTGGAGAAAGGGTGCAGGGGAGAAAAGGGTGCTGGGGCACTGATAAAAATTGGGATAGGTAGGTGGGCCCTGCCTCCTCTCCCTCCTTTCCTGGCATGCATCCTTCCCGGCACATTTTTATTCTTGGGTAGCTGGTGCAGTTCTTTCTACGGCAATGGAAAGTAGCGGCAGGCAGAGGCATGGCCAGGAGTCCTCCATCCTGGGCCCCCAAGGGATCTTATCTTAGCATTCTGGTATATAAAGAGTGCAGAAGCCATTGGCAGAGGTGGCAGGGAGGGAGGCCAGCTGCATGCTTCACAACTGGAGAAAACCCGAAGGCTGCCTCTCCTCTGGCCTTCATTAGAAAATTAAACCCAGGGTCTGAAATGACTGGATTGCACCACTGTCAACAGGAAGACCCTGAACCTATGTTATTTTATTTTATTTTATTTTATTTTATTTTATTTTATTGGGAAATGTTAATGCCGTTTCTTCATTTCTCTTCTCAGGACTGTCTGTAAAATAGAATAAAACAGCCCAGACTTACAAAACAAGCCGCAGACACCAACAGAAGAATAAAAAGAACTTTCCCCGGCTCCAGAAAGGCCATGTTAGTGCAATGGCTTCGGAGGGATTATTTCACAACTGGGGAGCCACCACCAAGGCCCTGCCTTTCTCCTGATGGTGGGGTTACCACTCGGTGGCCCCCTGCTGGAGACCTGTGAGGGCACGCATGGGCCTCTGGGTCTCCTGGTCCTGAGTCACGAGGGGTGAAGTCCAATGCGAGAGTTTTCCATCCTTCGTACTGGCGCTTGGTTGCTCCATGGAGCAGGGGAAGGGTCTGCACCAGCGCATCAGTGTCTGCGTTGAATATTCTCTCTGAGTTAATTGCCAGTTAATTAGCACCTCAGCCTCTGAACCTAAAGGATCGGCCTGAATCCTACAGCCCTTTGTCACGCCTTTTCTGGGCAATTTTGCCTGCCACAAAACATCCCAAATCCTTACCTCCCACAGGAGGTTTATTTTCCCCTTCGGGAATGCCTAGTCTCAAGGGAAACAGCATCCTCTATTTATATTCGATGCTTCCATTTTCTTTTCAAAAAACAACAGGGCTGCTAATGTGCCTACGAAGAGAAATAATTTTGGCCACTGAAAAATTGAAAAAAAAACAGTGCTGCAATGAGAAAAGGCTTCCGCGGCATTAACCACCTTGTCCCAGGGTTTTTGTCGTATTTCCCCCCCACTGTGGTGTGATGGTGATAAGAAGCAGGAAATTTAAGTGGGGGAGAGAGTAATTGAGTGAGTTATTATCACTGGTCAGGGTGTGGAAATGGAACAAATAACTCAGGTGGTGAAAGGCGCACTACCCATTTAAGTAATTCACTATCCCACAGAAGATGGTGATGATTGTTCAAGAGAAATATTTAACTTGGCAGCTGTTTCTATTTCCATCGTGCTAAGATTCTCTGTGCATTTACGGTATAGCTATGCTGCAGATTTGTTTTATATTAAGTCAAAATGCAACCCATGCAAGTTTAGACGGGAAAAAGCCCCAAAGGTCTGAAGCATGCTGGGAATTGTAGGCCTTTTTCAGTCTAGACTTGCATAGATTGCACCCTTAATGACTATGCCCAACCCAGCAGAATCCCAGAAGCTATGATTTGGTGAGTGGGAGCGGAACCTTCTGTTGATACATCTTGAGCCACAGCTCCCAGAGAATATAAAAAGTAATAATTATGAAGTCTCCGCGTATGTTCATAAGGTCAGTATGCTCTCTGGGATCAGCAACAACTGGCAGGCAAGCCGTGTGCAGTCTCCTTGTGAGTATATACCAGTCAGGAGACCACATCAGTTCACTCGGAAGGGAAAGCCAGAATTGAGCACATCCAAAAGATGTCAGTCTCTTAGACACTGTGGATCAGAAGAGAAAGTGATGTGAGTGAACTGGTGCGTGGGAAGCGAAGCGGGTTTTGGTGGTCTAGAGCAAGGTTGTCTGCCATTCCATCAGCCTGCAGCAGAGGGAGAGGAGGGAGGCAGGTTCTGGCCCACTCCACTGACGCTGCCAAGAGATTTGCTCCACTGGGACACTCTCCTCCCTCAGGGCTCCC